TACTCCTATACTAGAATGGATGAAATATAGGTCTATAGAAATAATCAAAATCATATATGTATATAGGTTTGAATATATACCTATATCAGGTAAAGCTAGGCATAAACCAAATAACGGTAGAACTTAGTCACTAAGTTTGATTAATGTATTATCTTGAATTCACTCACTGTATGAATAGAAAATTCTGTTTAGAGAATTATTCCAAATAGTAGAGCTGTATAAGTATATAGCTACTTTCAAAGTATACATGCTGGTAGCTATGAACAGGTAAATAGACTATAATGTTAGGTTCCGTTACATTCTTTACATCACTCTTTGGGCTCATTTTAGCGATTAGGAATAATGACATAAGTTTGATAAGAAAACCTCCCTCTTAACATATCCTACATCTCGTCATTCACTAAATATGTTATAGTCTTTTAACTAAACATGTATTGTCACTGGATATAATAGCTCTACTATTTAATACTAGTAAACTGTCACAGCAAGTGACAGGCGGTCTTGGATATAGTAGGAAATCGTCGTCTCTGTAAGAGGCTACGCCTAAAGTGTATGATCGAGTATATCTATACGACTACCTGGACTTCAAGAAGCTTGAAGTCTTGTTACTGCCTTTTTGGCTATGGATGGCGTAAGTAGTCGTACGCTCGGCCTGTTGGGCCCGCCCATTACAGTCTCGAATATAGCACACTCATAATTAACTGGCGATGGAGATAAGTCGCATGTTGCTGTCACAGTAACAGCTTGGCTGGACTTTTGCTCCAATGCTAGCCCGTCCTCCTCCTATTAACCTCACTAAATAATCTCCATATGGTATTTATACCTTTTCCTTACCCCATTTCATTTTTTATCCTATCGAAGACCTTTTAAGTGTTTATAGGATGTGTTCTATAAATAGGCAGCTGATTTGCGATTCTGTACGTTAGCATTGAAGCCTAGAAGGTCTTGAAAATAGTCATCAATGAATAATGTTGTAACTATTGATTTTCTAGTGAATCGCGAAAGAGAAATAGTATTAATTCTAATAGAGATTAATCAACTTAAATAGGCTTCTCTTACCTACTAGGTATATAAATAGATCAAATAAATAAAGTATATAATCTATTGCTTAGCTGTTAGTAGCTAAAGCTTTAGTATTTTTAAATACTAGAACTACTATACGAATTTTATTTTTAGTTTATTTTTTACTTAATCTAATAGCTTAAACTTAATAGTTACTTTTTACAAGGTTATATAAGAACTACTTAACTACTACTTTTTCTTTTATTATTATTATTATTAAGTTTTTTATTTATTTATAGCTTATTATATACTACTTTAGTAAGTAGTAGCCTATTAAGGTAGTATAGCAACTCTACTAATATAGTATTAACTAGTAGTATTACGTAGTTCATAAGCGAGTCGGCCACCCAAGCGAGTCGGCCACTTTGTACCGGCGCGTCGACGTTAACACTATAACGCGTTATGTCTCAACCACACAATCATTTGTTAATCTATTCTAAATCTAATCTTTAACTTACTTTTTTTAACGTCTAATTGAAACGTGTTTAAAGCTAAAGACGTGCTACTTCTATCTATAACGTGCCTTAAACTACTCTCTAAGACCAACGCGCTGGAAAGCGCTTTCAACGCGACTGCGAACCGAATTCAAAGCGCCTAAATAAGCTAGAAGAGGAGGCTATTGTTAGGCGTATTCTTAAAGAGTCTACGCGAGGATTTGCCCCTATAAAGGCTAAGGTTTAAGCAATAGCTAATAAACTATTAGAGGAGCGTAGTGGCAACCCTGTTAGCAAGAACTAGATTGACAACTTCGTTAAGCGGACTCCTGAGCTCCGTACGCGCTAGAGCCGTCCCTATAATCACTAGCGAGCCGCCTGCGAGGATCTAGTGGCTATCCAGCGCTAGTTTGACTTATTCCAGGCGACAATGCAGAAGTGGGGTATTGTGGACGACGATATCTATAACTTTAACAAAACTAGCTTTATAATAGGCAAGATTTTATTATAGTTAGTTATTATAAGCTTAGAAGGATATAGGAAAAAGAAATAGGTATAGCTAGGCAACTGTGAGTGGGTTACTGTGATCTAAGGCGTGGGCGCGTTAGGTCGCTAAATACCACCCTTCGTTGTCTTTGCGGGCAAGGTGCTTATTAACGTCTAGTTTAAGGATTTGCCTGCTAACTAGGTTCTTAAAGTTAGTCCTAATAGCTAAACGAATAATTAGCTTAGTCTTGCCTAGTTAGAGCACTTTAATACCCATACAAAGAGCTATACTATAGGTGGGTATTAACTGCTTATTATTAACGGCCATCAGAGCCACTGCTCCATCGATTTTCAAGATCTTTGCAAGGAGAAGAATATTATTCTTCTCTACATGCCTCCACACTCGTCTCACCTGTTGCAGCCCCTTAACGTCGCCTGCTTCTCGCCATTGAAGCGTAAGTATGGCGACGCTGTTTCAGGCTTGGCACGTAACCGCACCCACTATATCAGCAAAGAGACCTTCCTACTAGCCTTTAAGGCTGCTTTTGAGCAGTCTATCACAAAGGAGAATATCCAAGCTAGCTTCAGAGGCGCTGGACTAGTCCCACACGACCCACAGGCTGTGCTATCTAAGCTTGATGTAGTGGTGCAGACGCCAGTACAATCACCACGACGGACAGCCGCCTGGCAGGCGCAGACACCACGCAACGCGCGCGAGGTTAAGGCTTAAAGTACTCTTATTCGACAGAGAGTAAGAAACCGCCCTAGGTCTTCTGCAAATTCTCTTGACGAGAAGGTTGTACAGCTAAGTAAAGGGGCTTAGCAAATAGCACATGAGATGACGCTTATGAGGGAGGAAGTAGCTGCTCTTTGAGAGGCTCTAGACACAGCAAATAAGCGTAAGAACCGCAAGCGGCGATACGTACGGACAGAAGAGACTCTTACTGTAGGCGAAGTACAAGAAGTATTAGCTAAACAGGCGGGTAGCAGTCGTGGTGATGGTGAGAGTGCGTCGAAGAGGGTGCGAGGAGAGCGGCGGTGCGGGCGTTGCAAGCAGACTGGACACAACGCTCGTACCTGCGCAGTTGAGATAGATAGTGCAAGTGATAGTAGCGATTCTAACAATTAATTTAGTATATTGCAATAGTTTATTGACTGTGATAACGTGTTGAAGTTGACGCGACGGTACAAAGTGGCCGACTCGCTTGGGTGGCCGACTCGCTTATGAACCACGTTATTATTAAGAACTATATCTTCGCTATAATAAAGGGGTTAGTTAAAGGACCTTTAGCTAGCTTATAGTATATAAGCCTAAAGCCTATATAAAAAAAAGGCTAAGGATTTATCTTAGAATATACTACTACTTGCTTCTACTATTAAGCCCTTTGTAACGGGCTGAACGCCCTTTGGATAGCTCCTCGATGGAATCTCGGGCCAAGCTGCGCGCGCACCATCTGAACTACGTTCAGACCGAGCAGCGCTCAGACAACGCGCTCAGATACTCCGGCATAACCTTTCTCTGATAAGTAAATAAACACCACGTAAGCAGAGTAGATAGCTCCTTATTAAATACAACCTCTTGTATACCTCACGATTGCTCCTTAGAGCGCAGCCCCTTACATTTTGTATTCGATCCTAATTAGACATAAGCCTTAGGCGGACTATCTTCTAACTAAGTTTTAGAGCGTGTTGTTAGTGCGAGCTAGTAACACAGAGTTAGTGCTGCAATAGGTACGAAAGGCCTTTAGTGCAGCGAGAAGGTAGACCGTCGCAAGACAGTACACCTAGGGCAGAGCTTCGCAGGAAGTTCAGCCGTGAGAGACAGTAGGCGATTTAGTCGCCCGGGACCTGTCTAGGAAGTCCTACCGTGTCTTGGAAAGCCGAGCCGTAGGCGCAACGTCGCGTGATAAACTACCTGAAGGCCACTCAGGCCTAGCGTACAGTTAGCTAGAAGCGGACGTTGTAGTAAGAAGTCCTGTCGATCCTCTATCGGACGGGGTGCAGGCCGTGCGATTACTCTCAATTAGAGACAAGATCCCACGAGCGAGACGGCAAGACGCGAGTCTTCCTAGGGACGCGACACGACAGCAGCCAAACGCTGTTTAGAACCAGCTAGAAGAGAAGTACGGCCGAAGGTAAGCCCTACTAGTCCTCACTAACAAGGAGTAGGCCGCAGTTAAGGACTGCGCGAGCGGATTGAAGAGCGACCGGAAGCCCTGCATATTAGCAGGCAAAGAACGAGACGTCCAAAACGAATTAGGCAATGGAGATTAACGTTCCAAACTTGAATGTGGAAGAGCTGGCGGCGTACGCTGCTGCCAAGAACCAGGCAGGAGTATTAGATGAAGAGATCCTGCGCGAAATTACACAAATGCTTAGAGAGGACGGATAGAAGGAGGCAGCAATTAGGCCAACAATTGAAGCGGTCGCCAAACGATCGGCCGTCGTGGGAGGAAAGGGCTCACCAAGGCAAGGAGGCTCGCCAAAGGCCAACCAGGATGCCATGGCCCAGATGATGGAGCTGATGAATCGGTTAACAGCCCAGAACCAGGTGCTAACGGAACGGCTCGTGGCACTCGAGCGTGACCAAGCTGAGGGGCGTTCAGAGTCGTCCCATAGAGCCTTCACGCCTCCCCTAGCAGCAGCCGCAATCGCCAAGCCAGCTGCGCGCAGGAACAAGTTCCCGCACCTAGAACCATTTAATAGAGATCGAACAAAGTACGTAGCGTTTAAATATAAGACTTAAGCTAAGCTCTGGCACGAGTACGAAGGAACTTCGAGCCTCGCTCAGATCGAGTACGTGGTTAGTAGGTGTATGGGCAAGGCAGCGGATGTACTTCTACCCTAGGCAATACAGAACCAGAGTAAACGCCACATTGAAGACCTCTAGAGCTTTATGGACTAGCAGTTTAACGACCCACACCAGAAGTCCAAAGCACTCGATCGCCTTTTAACTCTTAAACAAGGCAAGCTCTCAGTAAGAGACTATCACATGGAGTTTAACCGTCTTGAGATTCAGTCAGGCGAGCAGTTCGGCGAAGCAGCTAAGAAGAGTATGTTCTTAAAGGGCCTTCACACTAAGCTACAGGAGGCTCTTGCTACGATTGATGAGAATCTATCGTACGAGCAGCTAGTAAATAAGGCAGTAAGAACGTCCGACAACCTCTACCGGGTAGGTCTCGTTAAACTGCGCGCAACGAGCTCCCGGGTGGTAGATCGCCCTACTACGACAACTGCTTAACACGAAGCTAGTCTAGACGTTATAGACTAGGAGCCTTCGAAGGTTAATCAGGCGCGAGAGGCTAGAGGCAAGCTACGACAACCTCCGCCCGACTGCTATCGCTGCAGAGAGCTAGGTCATATCGCGAAATACTGTCAAAACGCTACCTAGGTCAAGAAGGCAAGGCCCGCGCCAAGCAACGTTGGACATAAGCCGCAGGAGGAAGTCGATCAGGTGCCGAGTAGCGAGTCGGAAAAAGAGTAGCTCTGGACCAGAGTCTCGGTCCAGAGCCTCTAAAGATGGATCGGCAGATACGTGGCGAATGGAATCAGTTTCAGCAGAAGCATATGCGTCCTCCACCAATTACCGTAGATCTTATCGTGAACAACGTAGTAAACGCTGTCGCGCTTATTAACTGCGGATGCCTATGCTATGCACTAATTAGCAAGAGATTCGCTTACCGCCACCATCTAGAGCGCTTTCAAATACCTGCTCGAATGATCGAGGGGGTGAATGGCAAGCTATTGGAGATTAATAAGGTTGCCTAATTCTTGTTCAAGATGCATAGGTACGAAGAGACTGCCTACGCATATGTGATGAATTTGTCCTCTAGTAAGGATGTGTACCTTAGTAGAGGATGGATGAACCACCAGAACGTGTCAGTAGCCCCCGCTAAGAAGAGCATTTTTATCCACTCGAAGGGCATTCGAGTAAGGGTTAACCAAAGGGGGCTCTACTAGGAGGGAGTTAGCTAAGTCAACGCTGCAGCGTTTACGGGCCCTAGTTCGTAGACATAAGAACGGCTCTGAACAGCGGTTCAGATCTTCGCCGCGTCGATCGCA